CTCATTTGGGATGCTGTTCAGGGTTATCTCCACATCCACGTAAATGTCGCGTTCATTTATAATAGAAGACAAAGACTAAAAATACCTACACTTTTTCAATTATCTTTGAGAAATAAATTCTGGAATAGACCAAAACTTGTGCTAATTACACCATTCTAAACCTTAATAAATTCATTGTTTATCCAGTAATATTTAAAACTGAGATAAGTTTACTTGAATATCTGAAGTCTGTTTCTTTCAAAAGGAAAAAAACTTTGTTCAGCCATATTATAACTTCCATCTAAAACTGATCCGTAATGAATCAAATACTAATTTCCAAACATCCATTATTGCATTATATGACATGAAGATCTGTTGTCAGGGTTCATTACAATACATATTTCTATACAGTATTTAAAAAACCAAATAATTGGTAAATTAAATTTTACAATAAATTATTAATTTTCAAATTCATAGGCCAGAAAGTAGTAAGCATGGAAACAAAGGGTTAATAGTGACAAAGATTAGCAAACACCAAGATACTGCAGCAACCACAAATCCCAGAGACTGAATATAACTGACAATACTACAGTGTAAAAAAACAGTGAAAGATCCACAAACTCTTTGTAATCCTATACAGTGTTCTAGGTCCATAAGACAATCTGTATAAAACACTAACAAAGTAGTAGGATATTGCAATTGTTTTCTATAATAGAAAGTTACAATTTATTTTTAAAAATACATCCAAAATAGAATTTTCCAATTTAGTCAGGTTTCAAGACAACTATTGTGGTTTTTCTTTTTATACAACAGCAAGACAACTATAGTGACATTGTATTGCTTACACTCAAAGTGATGTACTAGCAATCTGCAAAGGCTGAACAAAATGAACAGACCAGTTTCAAAATGAACAGACTGACTTTCACTGACACTGAAGATCACACAATAATACTACTAAATGTATGGACAGATAAGTCTGTAACTGCACAAGGTATTGCAATGAATGTACTTCTGAAAAAAGTTTAAATAAAACAATTATTTGCACTAGGAACTTTAGCAGTATGAAACAACCTACATATACATGTGCAACATACAGTTTCATGAAAAATATTTGAACTAGTAAGCTTATTATGTGTAACAGTACTCTCATCTTTAAATCTCGTAGGATTTTAAAATGTATAAAACTGGTTTTCCTTTCATGTGATTTATATTAAAATTATTTCCCTTGCTCTTAACATTGAAAATTTTAAAGCTGTTGAAATTAAACTTGTCCTTTCATTGGCAAAGAGCTGTCTTAATTTTGGCTAGTAAATGCCACAGTTTGGTTAAATCCTGAATTAGCTCTGAAAACTGTCAAGACTGTTGAAGATCAAAAAGTTGAAAAAAAAAGTTAGAGGTGAAATCACAAAAATACTGAGATATTTTAACATCCATGGTGAACTTTAATACTCATATTTTTGTTAGTTGATTGACAGTGTTACTGACAGAAACCAGTAATATTTGCCAGCCTTTCATTCAGTACCAAAGAACATTCTCTCACAAGACTATAAATGTCAATAAATCACACAGGTGGTGAGATTATGTCATCATAAAAAATAGCTGTCAGAAACACTAAGGGCCTGAGTTGAAGGTAACTTGATACGCTCCATTTAACGGAGCAGCAGTTATCTTAAAATAACCAAAACCAAAACTTCACCATTTAGCTTTTCCGTGAGCTGTGCATTACTGTCAGATGACTGCAATGGTTAATATGTATAAATAAGGAAAAAGCATGTTCATTCCTCTATTTGCCTGTTTTAAAGCTCCCATTCTTCAGAAAACACAGGTGTGCCTCATTCCTTATCAAAAACATTAATTTATAGTTTAAGAATTATTGATGAAATAATTTAAAAATAATTAATGAAGATCTTGCTGAACAAATGAGTAACACTGAATTAACAACCTCCAGTATGAGATGCAGCTTCTACATCATCATGAAGACAAGAGAGATTGTTTGGCAGGCAGCACAGACTGGCCACACCCTACCTTTTTATCAGCCTTGAACTTACGATGAAAATATATTATTATGAAAATGTAAGAAAACTTTGTGGGGAAAAAGGTCACTTACCAGTAGTCAGAGCTGCTTGCAATGTGTTGTATGTATGCACTTTGGCTCTTTAGAGGTCCAAATGTCAGAGATATCCAAGATCATAAAACGGGTGGGGTTTTTGTCCCTCACAATACACAAATGCCTGAATCTGAACAACCTGATGTGAAAGCATGACCAAGGTTTCTGTACTTATGACTTTACACATCCTAAGAAAGCAGTCTTGACCCAGCAGTCAGTGGTGATGGCAGTCCATGCGTTACTGCAGCCAGCTAATTTGTATTCGAACAGACTGGGGCCCAAAGGGGAAGCAAGGACAGAAATCCAGAGAAAAAGGTTCTGATGCAAAACATTCCCCCACAACATTCTCTCCCAAAACATTCCACTACAAGGTAGAGTTTCACCACCTTCCATGTAGGAAGAGCTCAGCTGCCATGGCCAGCTCCACACTAAAAGCTGTCCTCCAGCAAGTCAGGAAGTGCCAAGGCACAGCAGAGGGGGTGGTTCCATCCCATTAGGCGTCCACAGCTCAGAGTACTTTGATCTGCGGATTGGATATGATCAATCCTGTAGTACAGTCCACCACAATACCCTCCTTTCTAAATGGGAGAGACAGATTTGATGGGTGGACTGTTAGATGGCTAAGAAAGTGGATGGATAGTCGCATCTAGAGGGTAGTGGTCAGTGACTCAGAGTCAGATGAACATCAGTGACAAGTGGTGTTCTTCAGGGGTCTGTATTATTTAATAACCAGTGTTATTTAATACCTTCATTAATGACACAGATGAAGGAATCGAGTGCACCCTCACCAAGTTTGCAGACAGCACCAAGCACCAAGCTGAGTGGTGTGGTTGATGCACCTGAAGGATGGGATACCATCCAGAGGGACCTGCACAGGCTCGAGAAGTGGGCCCATGGGAATCTCATGAGGTTTAACATGATCAAGTGCAAGGTGCTGCACCTGGACTGGGGAAAAGCCCAGCACCAATCCAGTCTGGGGGATGAAAGGACCAAGAGCAGCCCTGCAGAGAAGGACTTGTGGGTGCTGTTGGATGAGAGGCTGGACACGACACAGCAATGTGCATTTGAAGCCCAGAAAAGCCAATTGTGTCCTGGGCTGCATCAAAAGCAGCGTGGCCAGCAGGGCAAGGGAGGGGATTGTGCCCTCTGCTCTGCTCTGCTGAGATCCCACCTGGAGTGCTGCATCCAGCTCTGGGGTCCCAAGCACTGGAAGGACATTGACCTGTTGGAGCAAGCTCAGAGGAGGGCCACCAAGATGATGAGAGGGATGGAGCACCTCTCCAGTGAGGAAAGGCTGAGAGAACTGGGATTGTTCAGCCTGGAAAAGAGAAAGCTTAGGCACCTTCCAGTACCTGAAAGGAACCTACAAGAAAGATGGAAAGACACTATTTATAAGAGCATATTAGGACAAGGGGGAATGGTTTCAAACTGAAAGAGAGTAGGTTTAGATTATATATTAGGAAGAAATTATTGACTGTGAGGGTGGTGAGACACTGGAACAGGCTGCCCAGAGAAGTTGTGGATACCCCATCCCTGGAAGTGTTCAAAGCTAGGTTGGATGAGGCTTTGGGCAACCTGGTCTAGTGCAAGGCATCCCTGTTCACACACAGTGTTGGAACAGATGAGTTTTAAGATACCTTCCAACCCAAACTGTGTTCTGATTCTGTGATTCTATGATACACTCTGTATTACAGAGCTTGGGTGGAAGAAGATCCAAGTAGATGAGTTAGTAGAATTGACAAGAACACAGAAATTCAGTGTCAGAGGCAGTGTCAGATTCTTTTTGACTGGTTGTAATCCTCAGGTGCTGAGACAAACTACAGAACACAAGAACTACAGAACTCAGTTCTCATTTAGAAGTCTCTTGGTGTTAGGGTGGCCTTGGGGCTGCTACTGCAGAGTGAGCAAGGGCTTCCATTTAAGCTGATCTTCTGGCTAAGCAATTTTTGGTGCAACCATGTGTTTCTTGACTGGGTGAGGCTCTTCCTCACCCAGTTTTGCCAGAGAAAGAAGGAATTCATGCTAAATAGAACTTGGCCTTGGTCCAAGATTCAGATAATCCTAAATGCTATTGTCGGAAGTAGACCAACACTTTCACTAGGGTACTCCTCTCACTTGAAGCAACAGGTAATAAATGCGCTAGGGATGTGTCAGTGTTACTTGCCAAGTGAGTCACATGCCTCAAGACCGAAAAACATTAAAACCCTTTCTTAGGTGGAGCCATGGAGTGTGATTCAGGCAACATGTACAGAGTATCTAGACCTATTTCTAATGAGGAAAGGAAAAGCAGCAGAGACCATGCTCCTATAGGGAGGGGCACTGGATTTGACAAACTCAGATTTAAAAAATAATCATTCAGGATTGGTTGGAAAAGAGAACAACATAGCCAAAGGCTAACAATAATAAAAAAATAAAGACATGGGCACAAGTTAAGAAGCATCTAGAATGCCTCCATCACTGGACACTGAGTATGAAAGAGGGAGGGGTGGGGTGAAAAAGCTTTAAGTTCTGAGACCAATAAAAGCAGGAGTATGCTGTCTTTGAATACCTGCAGTGCACACTCCTCTGTCAGTTTTTCATGGTATAAACCATCTGATGTTTACCACGATGTGATGCTACAACACAGTGTTCTGTTGCATCTGCAAAACAGTACCAACTCTTTACTGCTTCACTTCTGATCAACTGCATCAACATAACAACAGAGTATTTTAAAATGTGAACTTCCTCTACTTTCCCTGAAGTTGTAATGGTATCCAGTGTTCAGTTCAGCAAGAAACAATTCTCTTCGAAACACAAGCCAAAACCAGGTTTGGTCTTGTTTGCACAGAAACACTGGCCTTTTCGGGATGTTTGATCATGTATTTTCAATTTGATAAGTAAGAATGAACAGGTAGCAAAACGCTGAAAACACAACTCGGAGAGTAAAGTTAATTTATTTCTCTAAAACATCACACTGAGTCAAGATACCTTAGTTCAGTCAAAGCTTCTGCAGTTTCCTCATAAGCCTGGACTTCATAAACAAATATTCCAAGTCCGTCTATCTACAAAAATAGGATGGCCAATTCTTACTTTCTTCAGATATCAAGTTAATTTACAAGTCCTTGAAGATAAATGAAAAATAGGAAGCGATCCTATATCATAATACACTCCACCACGTTTCCCAAATGTACTGGAAAGGAGGAATATGAGCCTTCTTTGGAAAGGTGCATTGGAAGGCTTATTACCATCTCTTGGAGACAGGGTATGCATTTACATCACCATGACTGCCATGGTACAGAATCCCGGACTGCTACTTTTATACGGCATGACCTATGATCTGGGAGTTGTAGTCTGCTGTCTCCATTCGCAGAATATATGGGATGATGCTATCAATCTGGACATTTCCAATCAGTCCTGCGAAGAACAGTTCTTCAGTGATGGCAGCGCTCATCAGCCGAAGAGCAGGCAATCGGAGGAGAAGTCTAGACAGTCTGGAAAATAAATTTGGTAAAAAGTGTTACTTGGCAGATCATGGATTTTGGTGTTATTCACAATGAAGTTATTAGTTAAAGAAGAGAAAAAACTGACAAGGGACGTTACTGGTCAAAATTTGTTCTATCTAGTTAATGAAAGGCTTAAATATTTAAATCAGGAGAGCATCAAATTTACGTTTAGTCATGTCTTTAACAGTACAGAACCTGTGAGTATGCCTGTCAATTACATGGACATGTAATGTAATGTTTGAACTTAGTATAAACGAGGAAATATTCCAAATAGGTGCAATTCAAATGGAATGTTAATAATATTTACTTCTGATATTTAATTTTAGAAATGAATAATGAATGAGTAGATAAATAATACTCATAGTATGTATGAGCACATGCATAATATTTGAAGTATTCTAAAGGTAATTTTTTTACCTTTAAGGAGGTAAGAAGAAAATGTACATTATCTATTACAAGAAATACTGTACAGATCAGTACCACCAATGACTCTGTCAATCAAGTAAGCATCTAAATCTACAGACCTGTAAGTATCATCTGGATATGCCTTTGTTACATAGTCTTGGAACTCCATATAAGCCTTCTCTTGAAATTTCTCAATCTGTACCACATTTTCTAGACCTGGGTGATCTGAAAAAGAAAACAACAAAAACCTCTTCATTGTTATATCTGTTCTATACAAGGTGGACTGAAATCCATCCAGATTTTCCAATCATAAACATACTGAAATAATTACGTGGTAGCTGCAGCAACTCCACTTTTAATGGAGGACACTACGTCCTTGTATTTCTCTTCCTCTAGGCTTATGTTTTACTTAGCTTTTCATAAATAAAACCAGACATTTTGAAGAGTTCAAATAAATTCAGTGCTTGCTTACATTAATCTTGATGATGCAACTCTGTTCTCTGTCTAGCAGTAGAACAGCATTTTTCAGTACACTGACATTTACTGAAACATTGTATGCATGAATAGTATTTGGGTGGGAAGCGAAGGACAAAATTAAGACCAGCAGAAAAGGCAGAATAAAAAGCTGTGAACCGTTTGTTTCCTAAAAAGATACGTGGAAGATACGTAGCAGATCATTTTTTTTCAACTATCTGGTGCAAAAATTACAAATGTGCTAAACATAATTTTTAGCAGTGATTTGAACACTTGAAATCTAATCTTGCTAAAATGGAAGGATATCAACCTAACTGCCAAGTCACATTAGGAAATTATTATCCAGTAATTCTGAACCATTTACATGGTCTGTAATTTTTATTATTCATCTTAATGACAAAATTTTACTGTCATAGTAGCATAACAAATCACGTAATTTTATTTTTCACAAATGGCCTCTTAAATGAGCTGGCAAATTTTGTGACATAAAAGATTGTTTCTAACAGTCACACTCCTCTCCAAATACACAAAACCAGTAAACAAACCCAAGAGATTTTTGCTCTGTGGATAAAGAAGCTTTGGGAGCAATTCAGCAGTTATGTGATACGTTGGACTCCCCTGAATGCATCATGTCACAGAGCAGTATTTTGTTCAATATAGTAATTCAGTCATTCTGAAAGCATAATTTCAAACTCATGCAGAGGACAAGAGGTTAATTAGTTCATCCAGAAGCAACACGTTTTAAAGGGTTATCATTGTCACGTCAAATGCATCACTTCATGGCGCTGCTTTTAGAGCAATGTCAGGAACACAGCTCAAAGTCAAGTTCTGGAAAGAATGCTTTGAAGATCACTGCTAGTACACCTGCAGCCAAGTCCTCTCAGCACACCCTCTGCACTGATGTCTTTGCCCCAGGCTGTCCTGTGGCAATCAAACAGCTGGCTTGGCACAGAAGACAGCAAATCTCCAGGGCCTACTAAAGCAGAGGTTCTTAGCCTAGGGCTCTACTGCATGTGCAGCCCAGCCCCATTTTGTAGCAGAGCAGTAAAATTCCTGCAATTGTAATTTTCTGGCCTGTGAATCATTGCCAGAACAACATTCTGTTCAAGATACTAAACATGACTTTCAGGTATATGAAGATTTTGTTATATGGCTCACAGGATCAAGAGTATTGAGAACACAACTGCCATTAAAGCACTAACATCATTAGTAATGTGATCCTGAAAACATGTAAGATAAAGAAAGTTTTTCTCCATCATGTGACTGGATAGTCTTTTCCCAACATATTTTTCCTTCTACCTTTTGTGTTGTCAAGTTTAATCAGAAGGAGATAAATAAACTTCAGTCTGAACAAATAAGTAAATATTGTTTTGCAAGTGCAAGGTTCCTAGACTAGTATTTTCAGGTGTCTGACAGGACTGATTTTTCCAAAGGATTTTATCATAAATCCTAGTGGACATCATTCTAGGAAAATGTGTATGAGGTATTCTTCCATCATTTTCTTTGTATGTGTACAATGTGTACAAGTGTACAAGTGTGTACAACGTGCACAAGTTCTCAATATAGGAATGCCATGAAAGGACTACTTTGGGGTAAGAACACCTAAAGGAGAACTACATCTCCTGCAAGCATTATCTACTAAAATTAAAACAGCAAGCACCCTCCCACCACCCACTTAGAGAAAATCTCTGTGTCTTCTGAAATAATGACAAAAAGTCCAGGCCACTCTTCAGTCCTCAGCAGAAAAGAAAAATTGCAAACATTTTCAAGCATACTTAATATTGTGATTAAAATCATGATGGGTCCTGCTTATAAAGAAGCTGAAACTGTTCCTCTGATGCAGTGGACTGTAGAAGCAAACACATAAAAAAACATGCAAACCTTTCCTAGTCATGAGGACTGACAACAGGATTATGTTCCATAATGAAAACACACAGGAGCTTTTTTTTTTAGTGATCCACAATTGAAGAGTATCACTGCAATATCCTCTGGGAATTTATTATCTTTCCTGGAGGGTTCTGAATTATACTGCCTCTTATTTGCAAGAACGTGTTTCATCTCAGAAGTCTTCCATTAATGCAATGCGTGTGTGTGTGTGTGTGTGAGTGTGTCTATCAATGGAAGATACACAGAGTTTTGTTTGTGAACTCAGATGAATGCCATGAATTCCTGCTGATGCTGCCACTTTTACTGAGAGAGAGAGATACTTCTTGTAGATACTGCATATAGAAAAGACCATGCAAATATGAGGGAAACTGCGATGCAAGAACCTCACAATATATAAGTTTTATATATTAGAAAACCTGCTTACAATCTACATTTTGGAAGTGTCCAAGTTCCAAAAAATTTGCTCACCTCAACTGACTTTTCTGTGAAAGGGTGAACTGCAACTGAATGGAAACAGAAGGGCCTTCTTAGATCTAATAAATCTACAGAACCAACAAGAACCAAATACCCAGCTCTCCTCCATGTCCTATACTACAGACAGGGGAAGGTCACTAAGATTCTGTCAGCTTTTTAACATCTGCTCCAATCTTTTCTATGGGACATCAGCATCTATAAAAGGCAGAGTAACAAGGATTAGGGAAGCTGTTGATGCTTTTAAAACTTTCAAATGCAAAATGGAATGACTGAGGATTTACTTTCTACATGTGACAGTGAAAAATTCTTGGATACAGAAAGTACCTGAGGTTTATAAATTTTTATTTTATCAAATATTTGGGTTTGTCTTTATATTAAATCCCAATTCTGAATGATGAAGCTAAGACCTGCAGATACTAATACAATATCTGAATGCCTTTAGTGAAAAGTTAATTCTACAACTTTCAAATAAAGAAAATGAATTTTGTAATTTTGTTGTTTTCTACTGGTGACACAATCTAACCACTCAGTCACTACCTACCATAACCAGAGGACTCTTTCCTCCTTATTGTAGACTAATCACCCATAAGGAAAAAATAATCATTTTACCTTCACTGTCTAATATATGTCCATTAACACTACTGAGAGTACATTAGGCAAATACTGTTTAGAAGACAGAAATAATAATATAAAGGAATGTTTGTGGTGTTCACTCACCAGAAATGCTATTTTCATTATTAAAATATGTGTGTGGAGTAAGGTGATGTTTCTGTAATTTTGCATGTGAGAATTGATGACCAGAGAGATAAATCTTTCACATGTTAAAAACCCAACTTCAATTCATCTCAGCTGGATGTGCAAAAGCAACACTTCAGAAAATTAAACTGCAGGTCCTCAGAAAATGTATGCCATAAAAGAGGCACATAATTAAGAGCAATAAATAAATAAACTAAAAGAAAAAAAAAGACCGAAAAACCAAACCAAAACCAAGAAGCATCAGTGGCAGAGGCAAGAATAAGACTCCCAAATAAAAAGAATTAAAGTCCCCCTCCAAAAAAAGTCCCCAAAGCAACATTCAACTATTTACATTAAAAGATTAACCCTCCTCTTCCTACGGTCCTCATTGGACACCTTCCAAGATTCCTCAAGAAATGAGGCAGTAATTCTGCAAATAACAGTAACCACGTATGATGAAACAGGCAGAAGTTACATGGCAACAAATAGCACAGTAAAGTTTTACATTTGGAATAATTACATACCAGGACTGAAGAGGACGATTGCTTTCAAATATGCATATTCATATCCATCTAGACAAAGCTTAACCATGCTGTTACAGAACTCTTGCAGTTTGAAGACATGTTCCATTACTAGTCTTCCTCTGTCTGTTGGCAGCTTATCTAAGTCAACACACACATAAATATAAAATCTCAAGTCAACACATGTGCAAAAAAATGTGCTCACACTGGAATGTTAAAAATAATTATTTTATTAGATTCAAACAGTGGGAAATCTATGCCATCTATAAATTCCTATTAGGTCTGAATAATCTTGACACCAACAATTATGGACTGTAACAACTCTTTTTTCCTCCTTCAATTGTACAGCAAGGACTCTTCCTGCCACTAGAGCCTCCAGTAATCAGGCATGGACTAGAGCTTGAAACGATCAAGGAAGGAAGAGACTGTATATAAGAGTAAAGAATACACTGCTACTGCAGCTCTGTGCTCTATGTCTCAGGGTCAGGTGCCACGCAGCAGGTTCATGTACAGCTTCATGGGTTACCACCACTGCTGCAAAAGGTGTACTATACACCTTCCCTGATCTGCATTGAGGGGAATGAGGTTGGTACACAGCTGTTCCTTTGGGTCAGCCAGAAAATCCTGTTCCCTCCCTAATCCATCAAACTAGAGGCCATGGACCCCACAAACTTGTTATCTCTTGGAGACACTGCAGCTGGCATACTGCATGACTGGTTTTTGCATTCAAACTTAACTCCTTATTTAAATGGTAGAAATATGAATTTGTAGTAATGATAAAAACATGATTAATTACTAAAATACCTGTTTTGGTGAACATGCTTTAAAAATTACATAGACCAAAGTTTCAAGATTCCATTTATATCCCCCCTAAAGACAACAACAGTTTTGTAAGTATCTTTAGCTAATCCAGTACATTTTGTAGCTGGATCAGGTTTTTTTAAACAACTGTTATTTACAGGAGCATCTTGTGGACATTTTTAAATCATGAAAATCCCTCAGAAATAGTTCTTTAATTACCTTATCATAAAAGATGAGAAAATCTATAGTCAAGTGAGCTGGTTTTTTCCAGATTACCAATCTGTGTTTGCGTAGCATCAACAACAGTGAATTTTCATACCCCTAAACAGCAAACAACTCAAAAATCTAGTTAAACCTGAAAATGCTTAGATTTTTGTATGTGCATGTGCCTTATTAATAAGGAGTTAGGATTATGAACTGATGAAGACTACTGACTGCTTGGCTTTTAGTGCTGACAACCTTGTGAGTATTCACAAGCACACAAAGATTGGCTAAAAGCCTCCTCTCCTGCTCAGAAGAACAGAATGGAAGAGGCCAACTGATACATCTTTCATTTGAATAAAAAATATGCCAAAGATGCAGGACATAGGATTAACAAGGAACAAAGTGTACTTAGTGAAGATCTGCTGAAGACTTGCATCTAGACTAAAACTAGTATACAGAAGTCAAGGGGCCAAGTTATGTCAAGGGAGTGTATCACCAAGTTGGCGTTCAGCTGCTTTGTGTCACAGCTATCAACAGAAAGGACAGGTGGGTCATTCTTTACTTTATACACTTCATACGGGGGAATCATATTCACAGTACACTTGTGTTCTCAACACTGATGCTGCCCAAAATATTCCTAATTTGGGCTGATGATATTAACAGAGCAGCAGAGCACTATTAAACATTATAATACATAATAAAAAGAACCCCACTAAATGCTAATCCATCTTAGACAGATGGATAATTGTTATATTTTTTTTTGAAGGTTAATATTAGCACAACTGACTTTTGCAAAATTGCTAAAAAATCCCATCTTGTGAACTGTAATTTCTAGTATTATTTGTTTCAATACTAACCATGAAATTCTATAAACAGTAAACTTCCGTTAACAACTGAAGGATAAGTAAAACATTTCTGTGCAGTTCAAAACTTAAAAAACATGAAGTAATTCCCCAAGTCTGGTGTGTGCACAGTATACACCTTACCTTGCTGTAAACTGCCTTGAAGGTGATTAACAAACGCAGATAATATAGTCGCCACATTCATAACTTGTGAACATTGTGCCAGACCAAGCGTAAAAAGTTCATTCCAGCAGGCTTTTACTAATGATATGCTGTTATCCTGCCTATTAAAAAACACAATAATGTCACTTAATAAAACCAGTCATTTGCATTCACACTTTTTTTGTAATTTGAAGAACACTTCATAAAACAATCTAATTCAACCATTGCAACCACTACCAAACTGAAGCCCTGCATCCTTTTTCTTTGCATGCTAGAATTAAAATACCCGATTTAAAGTGATTTTTGTAAAGAAATAATTTTTGCTTAGATGACCTAAAAGGAGATAGATTTCCATCACAAAAGCAAGGTGAAGTTACAGTAAATGACAACTGTCACAGTGTACTCCATCACGCTAGCTTTCTTAGGATTTACATTAGTTTTTGAGTAACATTTACATGCATGGACAAACAAAAAGTTTGCACTGTCCCTATAATGTGGATGTAGACTCAAAGGTCTTTTTTTTTTTTTCCACTTGAAAACTGACAGGTGGGTGTAACTTTTTAGTTAAAGATACATGTGAAATGGAACATGTGAGATCAAGCTTTTGAATTTCCTGACTGCTATTTTCGGCATCCCTTTCATGTCTGGAATAAGGCTTGAAATACAGACTTCAAAGTATAAATAACAGTCATAAGGATTTCTTTGCTGAAAGAATTAGTCCTTACATTCAGCTTCATGTCTAGTCAGGTTTTTTTTTCAAATGCTGAAGCTTAAAATTAAATATATCAATGCAATCCAGCCACTTCCATATTAGTAACCTAACTTTCAGTAATGCCAAGCACCTCTGACTTGCAGAGCTTAACAAGAGCTCAGTACCTTAAAAAGGAAATCCTACCAGTAAGGAGTCAAAGTCAGGTACCATGTTTCACAGTTTTATCCAGTGAATATAAATAATGGAAATTTAAAAGAAGCACAAGACCTATCAAGGAAGAAAAGCATATTAAAGCTAGGATTTCAACTACAAAAATACAGCGGAATAGATTTTTGCAAGAACGCTGATGTAACGTCCAAGAACATTTCTGATGATTTGCTGCAATACTAAGATGCCAAATGACAGGTGAATGTAGCCTTGTCCTTAACTGGATTACAGAAACCTTGCTGAGGGCAATGTTTTTTACTATGATCAAGTTCTTGGAAGACATGATACTGTACATGTGGCTTCTACACATATTTGTCACATCCTCATTCAGCTCCTGTCAAAGAGACTGTGCTGACAAAGTGAAAAAAGAGTGTACTGGCTACTCATCTGATATGTGTGTATATAAACATATCATCTACAGCATTTTTATGGTTGATCAAATTTAGACCAGAACCAGCTCTTAAGTTTGCTTAAGTGGTCTCAAAACACTAAGAGGCTGTAACCAGCTCGATGAGCATTTCAGTAGGGAATTCTCCTGCCTACCAAGATGCTTGTGCAGGAAGATGAACTAAGCAGGGATCTGGTATCGTTAACTATATGATTAGGCCAAAGGCAACTACCTTGGTGTGACTAAGGAGAACATTGTCTGAGGAGGGAACCATCTGGATATCCATCCAATTATTCATCTTCCTTATAAAACCATTACTATGGTTTTGTTTTGGCTCATCATTTAAGAAGTGACATGAGTCACCCTTCTAGAAGTCAAAATTATAGGACATAAGGTGCTCAAACTAAAAAGACTGCATTAATGTAAAATAAATCTCCATTTGAAAATAGTTCCTATTTTAAGGCTCTTCAAAAGGAAAACTATATTTATGTTAAATGGTGTTTAAATATATTGTTGCCCACGATCTTGTCTGGGTCTGTAAATGCTAGCACAGGTGAATATTAACACTATTAAGACAGCTTACTCCTTCATATTTTTTATTCAAACAGAAAAATATATTGAGAAGTAACATATTAAAAGAACACGTGCAGATTTTTCTATAAGCATTTCTTGTTACATCTTTTTGGAGAGAGAAGTCTTCTGTATAACATTTTATTTTTAAAAAGCAATCCCCATTTTTCCTTAGAGCACTAATTTGCAGTGTCTCTCTGTTACAAACACCTTTTACAAAATGATAATGATGTAACGTACTATGTTAATTTGCTATGTGTTTTTAAATTCTGCAGGGCAACAACTCCTACCATAATAAAACATCATATTTACCTATTTTTTACCTTTGCTATTCTTTAACTTTATAGAATACTCCTTTTTCCTTCTCCAAAACACAGGCTTAATTACACACAATATAGTATTTTTCCTTAAATAGTGCAGAATCATTTGGCTTAAGCATCTGAGTAAACACAAATGGTAATCAGATCATCCTGCTTTTGACAGCCTTCCTGGAAAAGGGGACAATCCCTCATTTTAAAATAGCATTCTCTTTGCTGCCACAGTCATATGCTATTTGGATATTGAATTAAAGACACTGCAGATGAGAACAAATATGATTTATACTCCATGTTTCAGAGCTGATACAGTATCTTTATTTGTTTGATGTATCTTCATAAAATTACTTCTGAAAGTAACATAAATCAGTTTTCCCCATGTACTTTTGAGATGTTTTTTCATGACGATAATAGAGTACTACATTTAGCTCATGAATTTTAATTGATACACTGAATTTCAATGGAGAAGCAGGATGTAAAAAGAATAGTAAGAATTACTTTCTGGTTACAGGAACTATTTATTTTTAGAAAATCCTCTGAAATTAGACAACTTCATTCTGAATCTTTTCTGAATCTAGCTAACCATTTTATTCATATAGGTCATTAAAGGCAAAATTACTACTACTAATTCACCTTATAAAGATAAAAAAAAAAAAAAAGAGCTTTTATTTGGTGATTGCCTGATAAGCAATCAGGACATAGCCTAAGGCTATAGCTATGGAAAAACTGATAGGAATTCCTATTTACTAAAAATATATTAAAGTAGCAGTAGTGTGCAGGCATTTGATTGTTATAAATCTACTGCTTTTTCCTTCAATATCCAACCAAAGTCCTGAATTAGACTCAAATTGGGAGTAGTTTGAATTCAGAAAGTTTACCTTACCGGCTAAGATTTATAACAGTTTTAATAAGTAGTTTTATATTAAAAAGTCCCTGAAGAAGGGAAATTAAAAAGCACATATTTACAACATAAGTGTATAGAGTAACTGAACACTTACCCTAAAGCTTGGAAAGATGGAATGGAACGTGCCCAGTGCATGGACAAAAAAAGCAACCTGGAGGCAGACTCGCAGATATAGTGAACGTTAAGATAATCAGGCATAGGAGAGGGCATGGTGAGCTGGCAATCATAAAAAAAGTGCAAGACTTTTTACTTTCTTCAGTAATATGTTTAGAAAAAAAAATCAGTCTTGAGAGTTTAAGTGAAAAAGTAAATTGTTTTCTTAAAATAAACATGATATAATCCTGACATAAAATTGAATGACTGACTTTTTCATTATCAGTCAGACTGTTATATGCTATAGTAACTAAAAAGCAAGAAAAAAGGCAAAAATTCTGATTTGAAGATAAAGATTCCTCTCTGGGACACCTGGAGATGGAAAATCCCAAATAAAACAACTTTTGAGACACTCAAAGAATAAGAGAGAAGAATCATTGTAACTGAAATGAAGTTGCTTACACTAGAGAGGTTACCACAACTCCTGAAGAGAAAGTGTGTGAATTCTATGTCACAAAACATCTTTTTTTGTACTATTTTACAAAGAAATACATCAAAAATATTTTGATGTGTGAGTAAAATACCTAATACACAGCTGCTCCCAAAATATATAACGAATATACCTCAGAAAGGACCAGCTCTACCTTTCTCCACATCCATGAGTAAAATCAGTGACATTACGGGCATACGTGAAGAAAGTGAGATTTGACTCAAAACTGCTAATTATAGCATCGTAGTTCTGTCTTCAGAAATTAATACTTCTTAATATAATGGTCTGGCTAATACAATTAAAAACAAAACCCCTTGACATTTGCATTAGAGGTGTGATCAAAACAGATGCTGATGAGAGGGGCAAACTTTAGGCAAATACTTAGTTCTGAAGAAGTTTTCAGATGGGCAAGCTTTTTTGATTTGTCCATGAATAATATGAAGATGAAAAAAATTAATAGAAGAATTTCTGCAGGCTTGTAAAATGAGAAATAAAGCCAGAAAATATATGGCTCACTAACACAGAAACTGTATTCTCCTTTAATCAAAGTCAATTAATACTAAAATAGGGTATCTACACAAAGAAGAAACTGACAAATACACTTTCAAAATCCAGCTGCAGATTGCATCAGATCCACCTGTTAACAAGTGAGAATGTGGATGCTGACTGCTTCATGCGACACTTTGTCTGGGTAAATCCTTTTGCATGGATTACCCAGTATTTTTAAGGTAAAAACCTATAAAATAAACAGTGCAGCTAAACCATTGAAGAGTGCTTTTTCCTAAACAGGTAATCAGTGACCAGAAGTGGTGTTCATCACGTTAATACATAAGAAATTAATGCAAATACCTGAACAAACAGTTACTCCTCTAATAAATTAAAAATAAGATTTAATCAGATAATTATTTTAAATTGCTATGTTAAAATGCTTACAACAGTAACAACAATATTCCGTACCCTGAATGCTACGTGAGCATCACTGAGTAGTGGCCCCTCTATTTCAACGACATTCATGCTTGTTTCTCCACCAAGCAGCTGTGCATTGGCATCAATACTTTCAGAGTTCTGACATGCTGCGCTCTCTCCTGGATTTAATGCTTTTGCAAGAGTATCAAATGCCCTGTAAGATCACAAAACAAGCAAACAAAAAGAAGAAATAAATTTTCATTTTAGAGACCGTTTCAATTAAAGAGGAACGTGCATGAGTCTGAAACCTGTATTTAAACGTCTGCTTCAAAGAATGAGATCTGGAAAATAAAAGTCACTAACATACTTTTCCTGACATTCCACTGAACTCTGAAACAAAATCAGCAGCAGATCCTGTTCACACAAGCTGCCAACAAATTCACAGTTTTGACATACGGGTTGTGCTGCTGAATCACAGTTTGCCTTTCAAGATCTCTTTAGTGATGTTTACTGAGAGTGCTGGCATGAGCATTTTGAGGACCTGATCATCAGATGCTGTTACAGTCACTTAGTGCACATATACATTTTACAGGTTTTTTACTGCTATGAAACACAGAGTAAGATTTTTTTTTTTTGTTAAGTAATGAGTTGTGGTTAGGTTTTTTAACTGAATTTGAAAAGACTGCTTCAAGCTATGTAAGAGGAAGCACTCCCATGCTTTTAATAGTAGCCTCTGATGTGTGGCAGTGACTCCTGCCAGTCACAAGCACAAATATTAGAGCGGAGATGTCAGGACAAGTATAGACATATCACTGAGTATTTTGCTGCTTGATAAGAGATGTGTTGTTTTTCTCTTCACAAATAAACCTGAGAACCACAACGGATACACCTTCAATTAAAAATACACAGACTTGATCACTGCCTAGAGACAGATGACGCATCCTGAGAGCAGCACCATTTGCATGCAGTGTTGCATGAAAAAATTACACAACTGAGGTTTGAAAACTTCACAAAAGCTGATTATCAGCTTGCATGTAGAGCTGATTCTCAACTTGTACAGGTGTTTATTATCACAGAGTCTAAAATCACTGATTTAATGTCAAAGTCTGGAGTAGAACTTTGCCACCTTCTCTTCCCTCCCCACCCCCTAACTCTCTGAACTCACTAAGATGCTAAAAAACCTAGATGTTTGATACAAGCATTTACAACCAAATGAAACATGACAATGAAAGAGCTGCTGACACTGCCTCAAGGTTTGAGATGGTAAATGAACTACTGTTTGGTCGTCACTAGCCTGTATGCTTTGATGTGTACACGTGAAGGTGACTGGGCATACACAAGATATATGAGGGCCACTTTCTGTCTCTGGCAAATGCAAAGTAGGACAAAGGGAATGTATTCATGGCTAAGCTCTACAAGCTGTGCTATTGGACTCCAGCTAGGAGATTTGAGTTTCAGGTCTTGCATGGCTCACTCTTTGCAGTCTTATGTAGAACAGGCAAACCTCACAGCTCAATGGAAGGTGCTTTTTAGGAAAAAATAGAATCTCTGCAGAGGTCCTCCTATGGCAGGGACAGAAAGGTGAGAGGAACATGACCTCCCCTTTCCCCAAAAGGTAAATGTCATGTGCATCTGTCACTATCCTGTATTTATTAAAGCACAGGCTGAAGAGTCCTTTTTTTAACAGTGTAGGCAGGTACACTGGTTACCCATGTCTGCCCATGATACTTTTTTCCTCATTCTTGTTGTGGCAGGACTAAGCCAGCAGAAGTCAGTAGTGACTTTGCTTCCTCGTGGCTCAGCTTTGTGGGTCTTTTCCTGACACAAAGCCTCAACATGAGTAATGACTGAAAGGTAAAACACCAAGGAAAAGAGAATCTAGAACAAAGCTTGCCTGAAAGCTACAAAAGTCTGGCCCACAAAGTGAAAAAACAAGACATAATCAATAATAAAATACACGCTATTGATATCCTTTGCTGCTAGCAACCTTGGTTCTCTTTTCGTCAGGCTTAGTCACTGACAGCTATACAGGACTGCAAATAAACTCTAAGAATGAACATAATGAAGCATTAGAGGACAAGGCATATAAAATTACAATATAAAAGTAGTGGGGTACTACCAGCAAAAGTTGTACACTAAGTTCATAGTAGCAATAGTGAAAGCATAACAACTGTAGCTGAAAGCAATGGAATATAATAAAATAAATGAAAAGCATGGATGATAAAATGTGCTCTCTGAAATCCCTTAAACTCCTTCTCAATAAACATCTGTGTCTGATAGATCAAGCTGGTATAGGGCCGACAAGGAAATCAATGATGTAGAGAAAAATTTTAGTTTCTCCTTGGGTAACAACTCCCCTTTCAAAGGAATGCTTAACTTGAATCTCCCCACTGCTAATCTATTATGTAACCTACTGGACAACTGTATGCTGAGTCAGAGCTCTTTCAAGTTCTCTGGCTGAGAGAACCTGATGCCTTTTCAAAGGCACATTTTTAAAACTGAACAGAAACTCTGAAGTTGGCAAAAATAAGCATCTGAAAGTGCAAGGAAATAAAAGATTACTACGTCTCTTTGAACAGCCACAGTACTGAATGACGTTTATCAGTACATACAACAATGCCATTTACACAGCATGTTGTTACACAGCATATTCTTTATCTAAGAGGACACAACAAAAGCCCAAATCAGCATCTGCAGAAGTCAGATGGACTTTCTAAGCAGTATATAAAGAAAGGAGAAGAAAAACTATAATCTGCTTGCAATTATTCAAAGCAGTAGAGACCTCTGGGGAAATCCTGTATTTCAGTCAGTGCAAACCACTATATGCCCACCTTTTTTCTCTTTAAGGATTTACTCCACACACACATTTTCAGAACAGGATGTACAATGTAGATGGTGTGTAAAAGAATATTACTAGGACAGCTGTCAAAAGCTTGCACCAGATGACAACCAAGGAAGAATATGATTGATGATGGATGGAATAACTAAGTACATACTACACAGAGTATCTTGCACATGTTCTCACCACAATGGCTCAGTTAAAACCAGGGCAAGACACAAGTTTGTAGAATATTCATTGAATGTAAATGCATTAATAGTGAGAATTCTGTGACTTCTCCTGTGTAGAAGGAAAATGCCTTTTCAGCTTTTAAGGTGATTAATTGTTACAGGCATTAAAATCCTCACACAGGAGAGATCTCTTATGAACCAGAACCAGTTTTCCAGGATGACACCAAATACCAAGACTATAGTACAAGATCTAACATACCTTACTTAGTGTGGCCAACCAAAAAGAAAGAAAATCAGCTGTAGCATTTAAATTGAAATTAATTTCAAGTACAAACAAATAAAAGGATTTATTTTCAAATGGAACTTCCTTTTGATTTCACTTGGAAGAATCTTACACGAGAAGATTTATCTTCTACATGAGCTTACGCCATTATTACTACTACTTTTAAAGCAGATAAATTTCCTAACTGTGATGATTTAATTGGTATGAATTGACAGAGACCTTCTTGAAAAGAGTAACATTTTCCAGTGTAACATGCCTTACCTTGTAACATCACTACTAGCTTGTTCTTCTTGCTTGAGTTCAGATAATGATGCATCTCCATTACTTAAACTTTCAATCATAGATAGCTCTGTACTGCTTTGTGATATGTCTTTGCATTTACTGAGGTTTGCTAATGAAGTCACCACATTTGCCAGTGTACTTAAATCTCCTTGACATGCTTCAACCTAAGGGAAAAGAACAGTTTTCAATTCTCAGTTAATTGGCAGCAGTTAACCTGCAATAGAAGAGTTTAACTTTTACATAGATGAAGAATTGAGCATATGCATAGACCTGTAAGAAAACTATTTTCAGTAAATGGATAATCATCATACAGCAATTAGACACTGCACTGCATCTAAAAATGAAATATTTAGACATTTACTTTTAAAAGTAATAGCTACCTATTTCTTTCAAGAAGAATACTGCAGGTGGTAAGCAAGTGCAGGAAGAGGATTTATCTTCTCTACTCACTAGTCAGTTACCAGGACTATAAGACTACACTTGATGATATTTTTAGCATCTTCCTTTCTTCCCCATGTAAATAAGTCAGTAGTAATGGGGTAGGAGAATGTTTGAAAAGAAGGAATGCATATAAAGCTTTAAAAGCAAGCAGAAAAAGAATTGTGCTGCAGCCTTTTTGGTGTTTATGTCTTTATACAACTCCAAGTGAACAAGGTGATTCAGTACTGACCAGCAGCTCAGAGAAGCAGTAAGACATGTTTTCCACCTTGCCCCACAAAAAAAAAAAAAGGAAAGTACATCATTACAGACAAGTATGCTGCTGCTAACACCAGCATGCTACCTGTTACTTAGCTTATGTTGTCACACTCTACAGAGCCAGAAAAGTGAAATGGAATAAACAATTTCTGATGGGGCCCTTTGCAGACAGAGCAAGCAAGGAAAAATGCATTAAAACAGCACGAGGTAATTCAGTATCAGCTAGAAAAATACAAAAGCTTCCTACTGTGCATATGTAGGGAAGTTACCATGCAGCTTTAGTGGCTCAGGAAGTGTAACAAAATGGGAAACAAACAAAAACCAGCTCAGAAATAAGACTGTTGCTCAGATAGCTCTTATTACCTTTACAAAAAATTAGTGATTCAAGGGAAAAAAATCCAACAGAATTTATGAAATGCACTGTGATAATGTCAGAAGAGATTTTCTGAACCCCTCACTTTATTCATACAAAGGAAATAGCCAAGTATCAGGACTTCCCAACATAAAAATTAAAGTAACGTAGCCCTTAAACATGTCTAAAAATGTGAAGGAAGGGCATTTATTTCATAGTGTTTTTAGTGTTCTTACTATGTGAGGCTTAAAGTAGTCTTGTAATGAGAAGGCATTTGCAACACTGGCTAATGTTGTAAAGTAGTGTTTTAAGATGAATTTAACCAAATAAAAGTACAACAGAACATCCTTCTCTCCTTACATACACAATTACAGCAATGAGCACTACTTAATATATCAGTCACATCACCCCATACCTTATCTGGAGTCATCAGCACAGTAGGTTCACTTTTTATTGCAGAGGGATGAATGTTAACAAACATTCCCGATTCCAGCAGACCTGTGGATCTGACAGAAACCAGCACAGATTTTAATTTTAATTAATTTTAAAATTGAATTTTCCTGTTTCAGGAGACAGAGATAGCTACTTCTGAGTATAATTTACATACCTTGCTGTTTCATTGTCTGTCACAAAAGTTGGAGTTGCAGCTAATGGACTACGAAGATCTTTCCGAATGTAGATCTTTTCTGTAGAAGCTGCACAGTTAGAAGATTTTTCTCTTGACACTTCAATAGGTTTCCTCTCACACTGCACAGCTAAAAAAATAATACCCAACTATTAAATCACAGCCCAAATTACAGAATAAGAAGTAATACGTCTCTCTTTATTTGATATTCAATTTTAATAATAATTCTGAAAATAACTAAAACATATATGAAATACATCCCATAATCAGCAAGCTAGGAAGTTGGGTAAAAACCAGCAAACTGATTTGATTTGTCCTAACTGAAACGATGTGGTAGTCAAAGTCTGAGACCAAACATACAGATGCTAAAATTTTAAAGTTACAATTAAGGGATAAATCCCCTTGTATCTTGTTTTAATCTGAATCAAACTGGAAGCTCAAGGCTTCTTGTTCTCTCAGTTTGACTATCCCACACTCTTGCTTCCTTTGTAAAGGACTCATAGTACCTTTTTCCATGGGCTGTGGGTCTGTGTTGAACCCACGTAACTTTATGCACTTAAAGAAGCTTCTCCAGTCAGTACCTTAGACAATGCAGAGGGAAAGGGACACTCACAAAGTTCATTTCAGACCATTTAAGATCGATCTGGGCAACATCCTGACCCACAATCACTGTCTTCAGAAAAGAGCACATTTTTAATTTGAATGCCTCAGTGAAACTAGGTGGAATGAATCTGGGCTTTAGTCTACAGATTTCTCACCTTCCTTTGAATGGATTAGAGAACATTAAAATGAAACTTACAGTACTATACCCTACAGGGAAAATGTGGAAAATGTGTAACTAAAGAGAAAAAAATTAAAAAGCTTTCAAATTAGCAACAGACTGCGATGCTATTCAAGATTTTATGTTGGCAAGTTATCATATACCCCAAATGTCATAATATCATCAGGTATTGACAATGCCTTTGTCAATAAAAGTCAGCCTGCAACCCACAAATAGTACTTTGAAAGGGTGGGAGATGGAGGCAAGTATTTCATCTTCCTTTGCTAACCCTGTGCTTGCTAGCAGCATCTGACTCCTGAAAAAAGACCAAGACTTCTTCAAAGGACAAATAACCCCCCATGAGGGAGCTACAGTCCAAGACAATGCTGAGTTTTCTTTCCTTTCCCCACCACCCAGAGATCCTTTTCCTGCCTTCTGATCAATAACCCTGGTGATTTTGTTCTGATTGAAAAGTGAAGGGGCCTCTTCTTACTGCCAGCTGAACTAGAGAGTTAAGATTCGCTTTCACTGCCCCAGCTTTTCCTCCCTTTCTGAATTAACTTCCTCTGTGCCGGAAAAGTGTTACTGATTTCTGCTGACAGAAGCAAGGCTGTAAGGAGGCAAATGTCAGCAGCGGTTCAAGAGGGCAGCAAAATAAGAGCTGGATGACAGCAGAGCACAAGACTAATACTGTACGTACAGCAGCAGCGTCACAGTGTTAGGGCACTATTACTACTTGTGTACTGCTTGAATATCTGTGTGTTTAGTATTCTGATATTGCTGTGGTACTGAAGTATTGCTACATCTAAGGTATGGAGAGCTAAAAAGGAACTTGGAATCTGCAGGAATTGGTCAGAACTGAACTTTAAATCACTATGGATCTCTGCCTTGTGAATAACTATCTCTACAGAGCTTTGCCAAAAGTGAACAGAAATTGCCAGTAGTCTCAGTTGCAGAAAAAGTGAAAAGACGACAGAATTCAAAACATTCAGTAGCCTAATTTACACACAGGAAAAATGAACTGCCTAAAAAAATTTAAGATAGAGATATGCTTGACATTTGCCACCCGGAGTAACAGTTCATTGCCTTTCACCACATGCAATGTGCTTATTAAGTTTGTAAAGCAATATATATGCTTGAAAGCATTTCAGATTTCTGATACACCAAATTTGTACAATTCTTTAAAGAAAAAGCTAAGATATAAAAAGATACGAAAATACACCATCAAAATAATGATTTGCACTTATACCAAACCTATCATTTGTAGCACGAAGTTTAACACAGGTGTCAGATAAAATAATTTGCTCTTTTTCAGACTTACAGTCTTGTTTCATCCCAAAGGCGATGCATCTCTGCAGCCTACAGTACTGACACCGGTTCCGGTGGTGCTTGTTAATGACACAGTCTTTTGTTCCTCGGCAGGAATAAACTAAATTCTTCCGTATACTCCTTTTAAAGAATCCTTTGCATCCCTCACAAGTTACTGCTCCATAGTGACGCCCTAATTACAGAACAACATAAATCATGACATTAATTTTACAGTGTAATATTATTTTTTTAGAGTTCACATTTATTAAAAACAAAGTATTTGCTATTTTACCCAGAAAAAGAACACTCTTCTTCTCTGTGGATTACAGATCTTAAAATATATTGGGGCTATAAAACAACATAAAAAAGCAAGTGAATTGTTTTTCTAGTTCAAAGCACTTAAACAGGACGGATTTTACAAACAGGAAAGTGGCTTATTAAATTCTTTCCTTATCTGTTGACAGTAGTGTTAAAAAAAGCTAAGAAAACAGGTTAGTAAGAATACAAAAAAACCCATTTTCATTTATACATTTCTCTAGCAATTTTTTCTAACTGTCCCTACAGACAAGCCCTGTGGTTGCTCATTACAAATTTAGCTGCTGAAATTGTATGCATAAAATCTAATGGAACCATGGAAAGTGCAAACATGGCATTTGACAGCAGTAGGCAATCACTTCGAAGCTTTACTTTCACCTTTCATTTCCCTAACAGAGTAACAGTACATCCTTACTTCTTTCAGCAAAACTTCAATGAAAGAATAATCTAGCACAGTTATAATTTCTTATAAATAACCACCAGTTCTGTGAATTTTCTGTATAATATAAAGATTTCTAAGATATACTACAGAAAGTTTTAGAAGTAAATTATTTTGATTTTGCATAAAATAAAAACATTACTAAAAAGTACTAGGCTTTATTAAGACATACTCGGCAATTACAATTTTAATTTATGAATGTTTGAAATAACTAGGTCATATTACAGAAATAAATCTGAACTTTGACCTAATTTAAGATAAAACATGTTTTTAGATTCTTTCCTCACTCCTCACAAACATTTTTTAGATATATCAGTCTCATCTGATTGAAGTTTCCAGAATTTCTGATAGGTTTTCTGGATTCCTTTACCACAACCTTTTTACCACACTACTAAAACATGAAATTTCAAAAGCATCATATATGTTAAACGAATAATATATGAAACATTTCAACAGCATCTGAACTGTGAATATTCATTCTGCAAAGCACCAGGGCTGCTTCTTCACCTGCTCTTTGATGTAGCTTCTCGGAGTTGAGCTTGGAGGTGCCTGCAAAGCAGTTTTCCTGACACTGCTTATCACACAGGAGGCTCCCCAGAACCTGCAGCTGCTCAGAAAAGCATGGAACCCTTCCCAAATTCATTACCACTGCTCAGTATTCCAGGGCCAGCACAGGAGAAATAGCTCCTGGGATCTTCAGCCCCTCAAGGGAGACTCTATCCCTTCTAGGGAGTCAGAGACCCTTTAGCAATTGGAGCTGACCAACCAGATCTTTGCCTTAACTTTGGCAGAAACTTTTCCTACAGATGGGTGAAGTCTGACATGTATTTAGAGCTCTAGCAACTGCATCTTTAATGTTAAAGTTTGCCACAGAAAAAAAAATTGTAATTTGTTTTATTTTCTAGGAAGTTTGCTTCCTGCTGAGGGGAGACCTCAGAGCAGACTGCAAGTTCCTCACAAGGGGAAAAGGACGGGCAAGCACTGACCTCTTCCCTCTGGTGACAAGACCTGAGGGAATGGCATGAAGCTATGTCAGGGGGATTTTAGGTTAGATATCAGGAAAAAGTTCTTTCTTCACCCAAAGGGTGGTTGGGCACTGGAACAGGCTCCCCAGGGAAGTGGTCACTGCACCAAGCCTGACAGAGTTCAAGAAGTGCTTGGACACTGCTCCCAGGCACATGGTGTGACTCTTGGGGATGGCCCTGTGCAGGGCCAGTTGCTGGACTCGATGATCCTCGTGGGTCCCTTCCAACTCAGCATATTCTGTGATTCTGTGTAAAATAACAATAAATCCCACTCATGGATGTCAGAGTACCATTTAGTGTAATTCTGCACTGAAAGAGAGTCCTGTTTGTGCATGTATAGAGATAGAGAGATGTACGTATGTGCATGCAAACTGTTATATAGCTTCAGAAGAATTTTAAATTGCTTTTATAAAATTGCACCACCTTAAAAAGAAAAAGAAAGAAAAAAATAAATACCTGATGCCTTGTCTCCACATACAACACACAGATCAAACACTTTATTTAGGCCCTGTTCACTGGTGGAGTTGTCTGTTAAAATCTGAAAAGAAGTGGTAAAGAATTTAATATTTCTTTTCCTTACTATCTAGAAATAGTAAAATATATCTCATGCTTGTGTTTTTTCTCTAAGATAGGAGACTAAATCTGTGCCCCCTTTCAGGAGGGAACAAAATTTTTACTTGTAATACCTTTGACAAGAATTCAAGATTTCATTTCTCTAAAAATTACTTCTGCAAAATGGACTGACATTTTAAAAAACATTTAGCATCTGCATACTCTTACCTTTTATATTTATATCCTAATGACTCTTCCATAGTACAAATGATACTGAAGCATGGATGCATACTGAACCAAAAAAAAAAATCCCTTGTGGAGGCTACTGTATCTACACTCAGGTTTATTAACTCCTTTTTTTATAACACACATTAAGAGTGGACCAATAGAAAACATACTCTGGACATTATCATTAACTATTAACTGGTATACAGTTTAGCTTTCAGTAACAGTTTGACATTATTCTTCTTGTCTTGTTTCATTCATTTATATCTGGTAGCTGTAAAGCTTCATTAGGCACTTAATATTAGAATCCCAGTACTACAAGGTAGGCACTAGAATCTTCCATTTGATCTTTGAAAACTCTACCCCACCACAGCATAAGCAAAGCACAGCAAAAATTCAATTTAAAAAAGGAACACAAATCACAAATCACAAGTAACAATCAAACATAATCTTGACGTAGAAAACAATATTCTTCCCGCTAAAAAGAGAATATAGTTTAGAACATTTAAGAGTTTTTAACTTCAACTGTGTCTTAATGAGAAGCCAGTCTCTCATTCTTGCTTCACATACTCAGAACAGGACGCCTGGTAGAAAGGTAAGTAAACAGAAGTGAAAAGTACCCTATCTGCTATAGAGAAAAATCAAGATATCATGTTTTTTAGAAAGTTTGGAAGATAGTATAGATGATATATATAGGAAAGTTTAACAAGCATACTTCTTTCTAGTTAGCCTTTGTTAACAATACTGTCCTAGAGATTAATCTCTTTTCTTTTAATAAAAAATCTTTTCAAGAAAAAATAAGATGGATGAGTTAAGAAAATATTAAACATTTTGTTCCTTCCAAATGTCCAGTATTAACATTATGCATTTTCATGATATTTTAGAAAATACATATAAGCATATTTTAAGTCCTTCCATAAATGAAACCTGCACTGAAATGGGAAGTTTCACATAAGGAAGGACTACAGAATTGGGCCCATGAGGAGAGATAAAAATCCCAGACTCAGAGAACTCATTAACTGACTGTGAACATGAAGAATAAAAATTGATTATTAACATGAAAAAGACCCACTGAAGGTAAAATAGATGACAGAAGAAAGGGTCTTGCCAAATGAGTCAATGTAAAGATAAGATGCAATAATGGAGAGGGTTTTCAAGTGAACGCTACAGAAGAAGAAGAAAACAGGTGAAATCACAGGTGAAAAGATCATTTGCAGGAGAAAATACAGAAAGATCCCACAGAGGATGCAGATGAACAACAAATGAAATACTCTGTATTTCATAAACTTTTAAGTGGAGAAAGGAAAGCTCTACCCATACATACTAGCTGACAACTAAAGTGACAGAACACTCTGTTGCCTCTCAAACTAATTTATTTTGTCAGAACTTCTCTTTCAATTTTTTGTCCGGATTTCCTCTGTTCCTGAATTTTACCTTTTAAAGCAGTGTGGCACACTTCTCATCACTTACACTGTCTTTGAAAATAATTTTTTATGGATGACTTCAAATCATATCCCACTGGTTTATATTTTTTTGAGGGTTACCTAAAATACAAAGTGTATGATAACACTAAACATGCTTCAATGCCTCTCAATAGGATTGGTTTTTGCTACTGCTTCCGTATTCACATCAATTCTTTGGAGCAAGGACCTTGGATGTCCATTTGCAAAGATCTGCAAGTTTCAAAACCAAAAGTAGTATATAATTCAGAGATTCTTTCAAGCTTACACAACATGTGCGTAGTGAATCAGAGTGGACTAGCTCACAGAAGAGCACAAACTAAACAGATTAGGGGTCTTAAGTCGAAAAGAGATCACTTGAAAAAGGATATAATAGTGATTTATAAAAACCCCCACACTCCTCAATATTTGTCTCTTATAGAACAAGAGACATCTATTTAAATACTTCCCTCAGAAGGTCAAATCAAATGAAGTATTCTTTGCACACCATACAATACTATAGGATATTATACAGACCGAAGCACATGTGGTCTATAAACATAACAAAAAAAGGTTAACTTTCATAGCAGCTATCAAATATGATGGTCTTGCTGCAGTCTCCAGATCAGGAGGTTGCTCTGTATCGACAGCTAATAGAAGCAAAAGAATATGATCAGAAAGATCATTATTTACTTGTCCAGTTTTTAATATTTTTCCTTAAGCAGCTATTTACGGTCATTGTTTAAGTGTAAGCTAAAGGACTAAATGGCCTGTAGCAATCCCAGTGTCTGGCCTACCCTGTTGGTGTATTTCACAGGTGTATTTCACATGGAGGTGGGTAAACTATGTGCAGTAACTACACTTCAGTTGGAGCGCAGTCATCTCCTACTTCATGCTGAAGGAGCTCACATCTCCCAAGTCTTCTGCACATATTTTTCCCGTTCTTCACATCAGTGCCATCCCATCCTTGTCAGATTGAGGATGTGGGACAGAAAGTTGCTAAGTTGGAGGGTGACAACTAAGGAAGCAGCACATACAACAGGCATGGGAGTAAAGTGCACTGGGGATTACTTTAGGGAGTTACAACCCTGGCTAGTAACAATCTCACATTTGTAAACTCAAAATTATTAGTTTTATTTTTCCTGAGTAATTATTAATGTATTTCCCTACTAAATAGTCTGAGTAGTTACCATGGAGTACAATTCACACAGCTGAACTGCAGTTGCAACAGCGTACAAAAAGGAAAACAAGCAGAAGGAAATGTAAAGTGACAAAGACAATGAAGAAAAGAGTATGTTGCTCAACAATACATGAAAAACAGATGGAGTCAACAAGCAGAAATAAAGAGGGACTCTTGGTGTGGCAGGATCTGGAAATGACAGTAAAAATAACTGTATTCTTTCTAATGTCATGAGCCAGCGTATAAATTTTATAAGCAATAAGTTTACTAAACAAAATTTTCTTCATAATTTTTGAGTATCCACAATGAGTCCTAGTGCAAGGAAAATTATACCTTAAAGAAAAATCAAAAAAGGAGAACCTAGACAGATTTATTTGGAAATAAAACATCTTTTCTTATCCCATTTGAATGAAAATTATGAAATAAAGTGGATTATCTACCTGGATGTGTTGTGTAGAAATATCAGGGGATGCAAAAAACAGTTGGTTGACACCTGCAGCATCTGGAGTTGCTAGGATAACTTTTCCTGGAGTGGAATCTTGTCTGGCAAGGATCACCTTGCTTGGGGTAGAGCCATCATGATTTGTTAAGATGAACTGCTTGCCTGCTGAGCTCTGATCAAGTGCTGTAACAATCTGAATCTTCTGGCCCGTCTGCTGATCTGTGACAATCTAATAATACATTTATCTCAAATTGTTACTGCAATTTAAGTTAACCTTTGGACCCAATCTGGGCTCTTGAAGAAAAAGGGAGTTTTGCCTTTGACATTTGTGAAGCAGGATCATCTTCCCCTCTATCACATAAGAGCGAATTAAACTCAGGTGACAACTCGGATTGTCACCGTATTTGAAAATTCTAGCATACAGAACTCAAGGTATGTCTGTAGCTGAGCCCTAATGCCCATCAGGTTATGAAAAATCTTAACTCCTGAATTCATTGCATAGTATTTGAAGTGCTCAGCACCTCCCTGGTTTGATTGCTTAACAAAAAACTTCTTAAAAGTACAAATGTAGACGTTCAAGTGAAAAAAGTAAGCATCAAACAGCAAGAGGAGCAATAATCTTGTTGCACCTGTATATACATTTTAGGCTTCATTTTATGGGGACCTTTTTTTACATACACATTTCTACATAAAATAAGTAAAACAGAATCTCTGTCCCTGCCATTTTCTTCTTTTTTTTTTTTTTAAAGGAAAAACTGATTTTCATTTAATAATCATGAACAAACCTACAGGCTGTTTTTTCCATTTTATTCCAATTTTCAAGCACAAATACAACATATTAAATAATTATTAAATAATCCTCCATTTTCTGCCAACTTCGTAAAAAGATTATAATCTGTAGAGAAAACCAAGATTCCATATATATTCCATCATAAATCTCACTTTTAGACCCTTTGTTTCTCCATCAAAATGCCTGTATTGAAAATTGCCTGGTTTATTCTGGAGACTAAGTAGAATCATCCTGCACAGACTGTTTCCTGCAAACTATTTTGAATTACAGATCAATAAAATAGTTCCTATTAACTTTTTTTTTATCCTATAACCAAACATTTATTTTATCTACCTATCCCTAATATTTATATAGTCCTTATTACTGATCAAATAATTTATTTCATGGTCTAACACTTACCATAACTAATTCCATAATAAGTAGGGTGGCAATATTAATTGTATTTCCTGGGTGGAGAACCACAGCACAAAGAAACTGAATGAGGCATAATTTCACACAAGTCTTTATGAACTTTGCTATTGCACCTTCACAACAGGTTTATTCTTTCTGTAAATGCTCAGTATACTTATCTGTGTTTAAAAAACCTGTGCATAGCTTGTGTTTTAAAAAGATAAGCAGCAATGAGTATCTAATTTCAGTAGTTATAAAGTATATATTGCCACTTTCAAATATTCACAAATCCTGAGCTTCAAAATATGCAAAATTATTGTGTTTCTTTCAGATGGTCTTTTGCTATTAACATTTTAATGGATCACATTTCAATTTTTTGTCTCTACTAAACACAATGAAAAGCTTATTTAAGAGAGAAGGCCAAGTAAGATGATAAAATTCTAAATACTAAAGAACACGAATTTGGGGTGTAGGGTGAGAAGACAATGCAAAACCACAACAATAATTATCAACATGATTAATTTTCCGCTGAGTTTTCTCAGATACCTGCATGTCTGGGACCACAACTGGGTATAGTAGTCCCTTATTTCTCCATTTAATTCCTTTATGTTTGTTCTATATTCTTTAGAAGGCAACCCTCCTTGCCCTTTTAATTTTCACCTTTTCTTAACTTCCTTTTCCTTCTTCTGTTTTCTTTCATTTACAATCCTGTGTCATTTCTGGCTATTTTCAAAGTAGCTGATGTTCCATTCCCATTCTTTCCAAACACATCTACTTTACTGGGATTATGAGAAATCCAATGTGTTATCCTCAACAGGAATGCGTATATGTACAAAAGCCAAACACAGAATATTGTGCTGTTTCTTGAATTTCCAGACCTGCTCTTTGAAAGACAGTTGTATCTAAAATCTGTCTCCCACCAAATCTTACAAGTGCAACATCAAAAAAGGCACATACTTGACCTAGTTAAGTTTATACAAAGCATGCCCAAAAAAACAGCATGTCCCAAAGAGTAAAGACACAAATTTGAACTACAGTTACACTTTTTTGGGGGATATATATACTAAATTATCTTTTTTCCTATTGTAGTCCAGTTGTGTAATTTTAAAAAAATATATGTACCTGCAGATACATATGGCAGGACAGTAGGCAGAAGAACCAGTGCTACTTCACACAATTCACTTCACTTCCTATTTAACAAACAGAGTCCCAACTCTTCAAATGGGTTCCTGCAATTCCGGGAGGATGCCCAGGTAGTTTTCACCATGATATAGTAGGTACAGTGTTATGTTAATATCCATAGAAAGCTGTTCAATCTGCACAAATGGTTTCTCAGCTGCCAAACATTTGATAACTGACAGAGGCATAAGACAAAGAAATTAAACAATTAAGCACATTCTGTCTGCAGCTGACCTCTTATGGCCATATACCTGCAAAACCCCCACCTAAACTGCAATGGGAACTCCGAAAAGTTCACTGAAGTGTAACAACTGGCAATACCTAAATGTTGAGATAAGAGAAAAAAAATAATCAGAGGGAAAAAGAAAAACACTTATCTTCTCAAGGGAATCCATCTAGGCTCAGGGACAACACATTATGTTTCTTAATAATCTGAGACTCAATATCGCTAAAATGATAATGTTATAGAAATGGGAATATATCAATTCAGGATTGACTGCATAAAAATACACTTCCCTCACTGATTTCATTTAAGCACCCTGATGATAATGGAGGATATTATTTTCTTTTATTGCTTTCAAGCCTTGTTAACAAGTTTTGACTTCCACTTGAAAATCATTTCAGTAAATTAAACACGTCAATAATTGTGTGTTCCTATTATAGAAAAAAGAAACTGTCTAAACAAAGAGGACTAATCCATATGTTTATAACAGCCCGTTTTATGCAGAAATGCCTGTTTAATAAATCTGACATTCAATTTTTCTCTGAGAGAAATGGTAGCATTCCTTAAAAAGGGTGACTAATGAAACATGTTTTAAAGAATATTTTACTGAGTATTCAGTATTTCAAGATTTCAGGCAATTATGTGTATTTAATAATAATAAAGGACAGTAAAGGAAAAATATTGACTGAAAAATAATGTAACATTTATTTTGGACGTTTCACTTAGATGTATTTATTTCTACACACTTCTTTACTCTTCACATTAATTCTTCGCTGAAGAACGTTTTTATTACTAAGTTTGATACAGGTGACACGTCTGCAGAAGTCTATTGCAGGAAGGATGCCATTTGACTGAGTATTGTTCCACACATATCAAAAGACAACCACCAAAGTGTTTACCATCCATTTTGAAGACAGAATTAATGAGCATGATGGAAAAGACAAGGAACAAAGTAGTTGGGTTAGTAACAAGTGATCTTCCAGCTACATAAGACACTGAAAAACTACATAAAGGTCTCTGTCCCTAGAAATACAACTATTCTACATTCATTATATTTGCAGTAATTACAGTGCCTAACTAAGAGCAGGTCTTCCCCCTCAAAAAAGCTGTCAGAGAAGGGTTAGAAGCCTGACACTGGCTGTGAACCAACAGCACTGTTCAACAGGAAAGGCTCACGGGCTTGTATGTTGTTGTCTCCCATTCAGATCCCGATGCTGAAATTTTATCAAATGGCTTCACACTACTGGGATATTATAGCACACAGGTATTAACAGGAAAATCAAGGGGAAAGAGATAGTGGTTAATTGATGAACATGCATTAGTTAACAAAAGGTACAGATGTACACAAAGTGTAAAAAAAAAGAGTGGAGACAGTTGAGAGATTAAAAATCTACTGGATAGGTAAGACTGGTACCATGACTAGAGCACAGGATGGGTGGTAATAAAACTAAAAATACCCCAACATGTATGGGGGTGGTTGTGAAGAACCCTGGAAGGTTGAAAGCTTGAACATAATGCGCCAAAACGGAAAAAAACACAGAACAATGTTGAAGAGTGAAGCCAGCAGAATAAAAAGCAGCCAAGATTATACTAGAGGCTGGCTCACTTACATAGGTGATTTGTATGAACAACATATATCTAAGAATACTTTTTACATTTATTCTGCAGTTGATATTTTTCTCTATGATGAAAATTAAAAATAAAACTTTTGCAAGGATTTGCACTAACTTTTAAGGGATAAAATAAAAAATGGCACTCCCCAAATCTTCCTGATCTCCATATACACATTTGTACGTCAATTTAATTACCTACACTACCAAAAACTTCACATCCTCATTTGAACTGGAGATTATTACCTGGCCAGGCTATGAACGGGACATATAATATGGGTTGGGACAACCAAAAATCAGTGTCCTTCTCAGACATTAGGTTTCCCTGCACCTTTTCATGACCTGGATCAATGATACAAAGCAGTATTTCACTCCCCTCTGCTCCAAAATGTAGAAATGCTCCAGCTCAATTGAATTACCAAATCTACAAAATCTTCAACTTTCAAAGAATAGTATCTTTACAGTATTGGAAAAAGTATTTTCTTGCTCAGTGAATGAAGTTTTTTGTAATGTTAAAATTCTTATGAGAAAAAAAAGGGAAAAAAAGGGAAGATTGGAATGATGTTTTATTTCTGTTTATATAGACAGTGTCTCTGCCACCCAGGACTGAATGTTTACATTAAAGCAAGTAACATGATGCAAATAAAAAAGAACTGCATGTGAAAACTGGCAGAAGCAAACAGTTCATGTCTGCTTTTAACATGTATGAGATGAGGCATACCTGTATACGCTGTGATAAAGAGAGGCCTGAATCTGTAGGGACAATCTGTATTCGTTGTGGTGTCCCATCCATTAGTGTTTGTGTAACAGCTTCCTGCGAATGTGTAACCTAGAAAGAAGAGACAAATTTAATAGATTGACAGTGCATATACTATTTTAGTGGATTCACTACTTTAATGGATTAAATCTTAAGGTTTCACCAGCTTCTGATGTCCCTGAACAAGGCTATGGAAAGCCTGACACTGTTATTCTATAAGGAATGCAAATGCTTGTAATCTAATTTAACAGCTTAATTTTGCTAGTTAGAAAATTCTGTTTTAAACCCATTTTGAAATACCTTCCAATGTGAAATTTAGAAACATGTTAAGTAAAACAATTAATTGTTGACAAGTCCATGTAAGTGAATCAAACAATATTTATTATTACTGTTGATGTTCATGAGGCACAATATCTATCATCATAGCTGTGCTACATTTGCACTAAAATAGTCTAAGGTCTTACTTAAAATTGATAAAAGAACTTTCTGGTGTGGAAACACAGCAATGGGTCATTTCTGCTCTGTTTTTCTGTTACAGTAGCAAAACCAGAACAACAGAATTCTATACTGGGGAACTATCAAGGAAGTTAGAGAAAATTAAGAAATCACATGAAGCTGGCAAGCAGTATATCATATTAAAATCTTTGTGTGAATGCTCTCAGACAAAATTCATGCAATTATCAATATTTTAAAAATTCTTCATATCCTAAAGCCGAGGGTATATGGGGGAAGGTATTTCTTATTAAATTACTTGTCAATCAAAATTAGGTACAGCTGCTATTTGCAGAGGCTTGATCAGACTTTTTGTATTATAAAAGAAATTTGTCTTTATAGACATCTTCAAACTGAAGTTTTTGCCTTAAATTCTGGAGTAACTCCAAAACCTTTTTGCAGTTCACAAACTATCTGAAAATCTGTAATTCCCAGTATTTACACCATTATACATATACTACTCTGCACCTGATACTCCTTCTGCCCCTGCCAATTAATACAGGGAATATATATCTGTATTGCAGTAAAAGTACTGTTTCATAACAGGTTGTGAGTTTTTTTTGTTCCTCTTGGATCAGCTTCCTGATTTTGCAGCCATTCCACCATGTAAATGCCAGTGTCAGCAGAAGAAAGCAGGCCAGAACACGCGGTTGGAGGTCAGTGTGAGAAGAGGACGCAGCAGGTAAGACTTCCCCTTACAGCAGAAATAAAAGCTCCCATCAGCCTAAGTTGATTTTGAAATTTTACCCAAGAAAGCATTATTTTTGGCACCAGTCTTATAATCTACTTGCTCCTCTCCCTTCAGTTTGGTAGGTAAAACTGGCTGGCTAGTCACTCAGTGATCTGGAATAGGACACCGATGCAGGTTGAAAAGGAGCCCAGCAAACAGACAGACAAACAAAGGCTATTCTTAGCACCGATCAAACCTTCAATCCACATCTCCACAATGCTCAGAAGCAGACCCATCAGAGCAAATGAGAGAGTGGGATTAAGCTGCTTTAGGCATTGCTTAAACTGCCAGCACCATCAAAAGACATGCTTGTCAAACTAGTGCTCAAGCCACTTCTGAATACTGCTTTCTAAAAATACCTGATTTTTCTAAGTACTTTCCATAGTCAAACAATTCATCCACTTCTTTGCTTAAGCAAAGGGCAAAAAAGTGCTCCTTATACAGCAGCGTTTTGAGTTTGAGAGAGAGACTTTCAAGAACTAAAATTCTGCGTCAGCCTTTCAAAATGACATGTAGACGTAGTGATTTAGAAGCAACTGAAGTTTTATGTACATTTATCTTTGCTTTACAAAATAAACTATATATTACAGGACTGTTTTACATTGGTTCCCTCAAAATGTCATCATCTACATGACATGTAAGGTAAAGCTGCTCTTTAACTCCACAAAATGTCGGCTTGACAATTTTTCTTCATACGGAATACAGTTTTTCATGGCAGTAAAAAGAGTACTGATAAAAATAATCGCAATATTTGTTAAAAATTGTATTTCGTATGCGTGTGACAGACTCTCTTTCAACAACTATGTAGCTTTCCTTTGTTACAGTACACTGGCAGGACTGTGGAAACAAACCCCCATATACTCAGTGTATAGCCACTGAAAACAGAAGAATGCTGCTGCTCTCGGCAGGTAACTTCCCTACATGAATCAAGGAATGTGATCTTGATGTAGAAATAGGAAATATCTCACACTGAGCAAAAGACAATTAGCAAATGGCAGAATTTGAGAAAAGACAATCATTGCACAATGTCCCTTACAGGCAGGGTTATACTTTGCTTTAATGTTTTGCTTTTATGCCAGAAAAAGCCCTAAATTAACAAAAGCATGTTTGTGAATGTCACTGTGAAATAATTTGTGATAATTTTGTGGTTTAAAATGCATCATGAACAACAATATTGTAAAAAAATCAAATACTATGTCACAGAACACTTCTGACCATTATTTCAATGAGACACAGTAGCATTTTCCATTCTCCTAAGAATGCAAATACCTTTTTCTTTTAATGTTCTACTCCTTTAAATTTTTCTTGTAAATTCAATTAAAACGACTTCAACATTCAAAATAATTACAAATGCTAGCAAAAATACTGCTGAAGTTCCATAGATCCTGAACTATGATTTTTCAATGCTTACACAGATTAGGAATGCCACCAAGCAATTACAGCTGTGGGCAGGTAAGAATGTAAGCTACTACATGAAGGCTGTGAGACTGCTTTCCTTGCTGACTCCACCTTTCAGGCAGCACACTCATGCATGGCATGCACCTTTGACAGTACTTTTGGATTACAGAGTCCCACCTTATACTGCCCTGGGTGATGCTTTTCAGTTCTTCCAACCATGTGCTTGGGTGGCTGCACCTTGTACAAAATAAGGACAGCGATCACAACTGGGAAGGAGGCAAACCTTCCTCCGCTATCCTGTAATTCTTTTTTTCTTTCTCGTTTTCTACACCACACAATGACACACAGAGCTTACATGAGCAAGACTAGCATAGCGTGAGAATAAGTGGCTAAGTGAGGACTGGAGAACGCTTAAGCCGCACTGCTGCCAAATACGGTGTGACAGTCTCAGACACAGTAAAACCGTGCTAAAGGACAAATCCTAATCCACACTGCTGACAAAACAACAGCCACGAAAAACTGTAGAGCTGCAATTTCACCATGACCAGAAGCAGCCAAGAGCTCTCCGCAGCATCGCACCTTCACTGCCTCCATCTTCTCCCTGCCTTCCTTTGGCTATCAGCCGGTTCCTTTACGCTGCCTCTGGTACACATTAGAGCCTTCTCAGGCTTACTCAATGCTAATCCAGTAGAAAACATTCCATTTGTTTTGACTGGGTTATTAGCTTGCTGTTAGTATGGAAATTAAATAAGGTAAGAAACAGATGAAGGACCCTCTCTCTCCTATGGCACTGAGATAAGTCAGCTCAGTGTCTCATGGAATCACATTATGAAATTAAGAAGCAATCTTCACAGAGGCTAAACACTCATCATGCCACCCTCTTTTCTGAGTGAAATGTACATGTCAGCTAGCTTTGACTAGCCTTGTATTTTCAAAAAGAAAAAATTTAAACAGGAAATACAGCCCTATTTAGCCCTCCACAAGGAATTATATTCCCAAACCAAAACTACAGTAGACATATGTTCTCACCTAAAAAGAGGACAAGTAATGAAAACATCACATATCATATAAATCACTTATGTTTTGAGAGAGCCTTAGCAACACTCAGATGCTACAACAGTAAAAGTTTAGTTTATTCAGAATAGAATTAACCATCCCACTCCGCTCCAACCTTTCCACTTGACATCAAGACTGAGAGGAACTACAATTACTTGAGAAGTAAGTCTACGACTAGACAAGAAATCAAGAGTGGATATTTCAAGCTAAAAAACACCATTTATTTAAGATAATTTACTGCTTCTACCTAATTTAAAGTGGTGCTATTTTAAATAGCCTATCCTATGCTATAACCTTCTAAATAAGTATATGTACTCATATCCACACTCCCACACTATCTGTGCATCTCTGGGACTTCTCTGGCTGCAGTACACAGGTTCTGCACGTGGGTTACAGAGAATGAAAACTAGAAGTCTCAGAAACAAGTCTTCCTTTTTGACATATATCAAACACCAACAAATATTTTTACAGTGAAGACCATGGCAAACCTTTACTACTGAAAACAAAAACGACGACTGAAGCAATTGCACAGTTGGAAAGTAGAAGCTATGTGCTGACTTTTGTCACTAGAAGTTACTAGAGACCAAAACAGCAGAGCTGGACAGTTAGTCACTTACTGGAAATACTACTAGATTTTTCTTAATTTCTGCAGGGTAAACTTTAGTAAAAAAGACTTTGCAGCATAAGTATAAAACAGACATAGTAAGTTCTTCTAGCCTTCCAGAGGAGAGGGTCAGAAGCTTTAGCTGTACTACAAATTTTCTCTTGTGATTTTGGTTTTTATATATCAGTCTGTACATTTTATTATTCAATTTCTCTTAAATAGGACTCAAAATTCATGTACCTCTCCCATTTGCTGTTCAAAAATTTGATGGGCCATTTCCTCTATGGTTGCCATGATCTTTAATCACCAGAATTTCCTGTCAAAGAAAGGAAAGAAGATGCTTAACATCTGTAGTCTCAAAAGTAAAAATATCTTGGGGAAAACACAGGTCACAGAAGTGCATTTACAGTTTTCTGAAGATGACATCCCTGCAGAATTTAAAGTTTGATTATACTGTAAAAGTAATAATCTATTTTCTATTTGTTTTACTCATAGATACTTCCTATTTTTTAATTTTGCTTTCCCAAAGAGCAACAATATAATAAAATCCCTGTGAGAACAGAAGCCTATTACTGACCATGACATCCACAGGGTCATATTTAACATCTTAAAAAACTGGAACACAGACAGTTTTGTTAATGCAAATCAAGAGGGGCAAACCTAACTTCTTCTGAAGTCATACTGGGTTTTTAGTATTAATAGGAGTGCCTGAAGGTTGATTTTGTAACTAATAGGAAACACCACTTGGGATGCAGAAAATACATATTTTTTTAAAAAAGATGCTGTTTTGTTATCAATACTGTAGCTACAGCACATACCCTAATCTTTATAAGAAGAATTTTGTAGGGTTTAACAGACACTATTACATTAATGCAGTATAAAGGACTCAGATGTAAGCTTTATTTGCGTATTGTTATACAACTACTCACTAGGCAGTACTTAAAAGGAACGTGCACAAACTATGGAGCACCAAATAAACACTTAATTTTACTGACAAAAGCTGTATTAAAAGCACTGCAATACCTACTTCTTATAAGAAAAAAGTACTCTTACACTAATACAGCTAGTGGGTTTACACTCTTTAACTTTGTTAGAACTTCTAGGAACTATATCCTACCCCAGTGATCTCTAAACTTCCCCAATCAGCCATGCAAATATAAAAGTTAACTCATTTTGAAGCTAACTCTGCTCTTACAATTGGAAAGAGAAATCTGTTTTGACTAGGCAAGAACTGCAGGCCTCGGAGGTGTGCACAGTGGAGAAAGACAGAAATATTTTGGCACTGTAGACTGTTCTTAATCACTCACTAGCATGCTGTATTATTAACTCAAAAGATGAGAGGCATGCACATAAAAAAGTAGAAGACTGAAATTTATGCTGAAAAGCATTATCTCCTAAAAAGATCTCGTAAGTGTCAGCATCCTTGCAGGAGCACTCTATTAACCCACTTCTGCATCCACTGAGCTGCAGCACAATCACTATTCAAAGAGCACTCTACAATTTTAAGACAGCTAATGTGTTTTATCAATATTTTCTTATTTTAAATAAAATACTAGCAACAAAATATTGTACTGTTAACATATACAGTGCCAGAAATTAGTGCTATTTCATTACCAAAAAAACCCAAAAAAACAAAACCCCCAAAAAAGATTTAATGTCTTAAAAGAAAATTAGAGAACTATTTAGTGAGAAATACACTTTTGGGCAAGACAGATATATTTTTTCAGTTATTTCAAAGGAAGACCTTACTGCTTCACAACAATTTGACATACTAGAAATATTGTGCATACGATAATTCTTCAAAAAATTAAGAGTAAACTAAGTAAAATGCTGACATTTTAGTCCAATCTCAGAGCTGATACCATTTGAGTGGGGTTTTGAACTAGAGATGTCTGGAATATTGCACAACTCAAAGATGTACCATTTTCTTGGCTACAGGAACAACAAGAGTTGGTCGCAATTAAAAAAAATCCCCTATTTTTTTTAAATTAGTTTGAGTTGCAAAATCTTTTGACTGCCTCCATATAGGTCTACTGTGCAGATATCTTCAAGGACACAACAAACAATTACCTACTTTTAAAGTTCTACTTCACTATGTGTCTAGTTTAAAGAACTACGCACAAGAAAGCTTATTTTGTGCAGTTTACACCAATTTTATGGAAAACACATGTTCCCTTATGTCAGCCTTTTGAGACAGACAATAACATCTTCCATTTTGCAATTAGTCTCTAGCACTTTCTACATTGCTTTCCTGAAAGAAACTAGACGACCTAGTATTTTCCCATCAGAAAAGCCTGTAAAAAAGCATAATTATGACCTTCTCAATTTTAGCCATATTTACCAACAGAGCCTACAGCTTTACTTTTATTTACAGCTTTGTCTTAATTTCATGCTTTTCTAAAACTCCTGCAGAATTAAAATGTTCCAACAAGAATACTTAATACTAATTATTACTGCTATAGCTGTGTTGCACTAGCTCAGCAGCAAATGGAAATTAACAATACCATACAGCGAAAAGTTGAATTCACTGTTTGTCTAGTGAAAGCCACAGTCAAATACTGAACTTGCACAGGAGGTAAAATCCGGAAAAGGACTTTTATGGAAATTGACTCAGACATAAATAAGAATAATAATAATAATAATAATAATAATAATAATAATAAAAAAAATCTTACTTATATCTGTGGCACTGCAAAATGATGATTAAAGATCCTCTTTCATGTTCTCTATCATAAAATTACTTCAAATTAGCATAGTAACACATTAATATTTTGGCCCCCAAGTCAGTAAATGAAAGAAGGAAGTACCTAATTTCTCTAAGCCTCCATAATTCGTTTGTCTACAGTCTTAAAAAGGAATAAAAGTCTTTTCTTTTTAACTAAGTCACTGCTACCTTACTCAAAACAATTCTGTCACCAAAATGGCCAGCCTGATCTGTCTCATAGCCTGAGCTTTCAATCTCTCTCCCTGCTCCCACTACTGATACATCTGTGACTTTGCAGCCAACAGCAAAGTGTTATTTTTGTCAGTGTTAGTTCTCAGCCCAAGGAATGACTTGCCCTTGCTATATTACCCTGCAAATGCTACTGCTGCACCAGTGGTGGAGGGGAACTGTAGGTCACACCTTTCCACAGCAGCTGCAATTTCCATCATCTTAAGCCATCTGAAGCCTCCCATGCTTTCCCACAGCTCTGAAATTTGTTGCGAGATGAGCCCTGGAGCTTAGACACACTTATTTTTAGATCTTACAGACAAACCTGGTGAAGAAATAAGAAATGAAAAAAAAGCAACATACAGCCACAGGTGAAGTGGCCCAGCACAGACTTCTGGTCCATAAGCTGAAGTACTCTACACCCTGGAGACTGACATGGACCTATCTTCTTGCTTCGCTATTTCTAGAAAGGGTATTATTTTCTAATTATGAGAAATGTAAGTCAAAGCTACTTGGAAATAGTGAGGAAAACAGTGCAATTGCAGCAGCTTCACACACATGAACCTACTACCAGTTAAACTTTGTATTGTCTAGTAGAAACACTCTTCAGCACAGACTTTTCAACTTTTCAGCCTTAGTAGTTAGTCCTCCAGCAGACAGGCACTGAACTTTTCAAGTCCTAACACAGAACTAAATGGTGTCTCATCTTTGAGATGCTGAACTCTATGCTCTTGAGCTTTGTTCTTTGCCAAACTGCCAAATCCTCACCAAGAGCATAGGTAGAATTTGTACTGGTTATGGCAGAATTCTGTTTTGGTGCTGACACCTCTCTGCAACAAAATCTCTCTCTTGTGAGCAAGACAAATACTTATGAAAGCAGGTATTTTTACATTATTAATTCAGGGTTATCAAACAGCACTAATAAAATACTGAAAATACTAAGGTCTCTCAAATCCAGAACTGGCCATAAGCATCCTTTATTCTTAGAAGCAATATAATTATATTCTGTTTTACTCCTAAGAGCAGTGGAAGTGGTTCTCTAAAAGAGATTCCCTGATTTGATGCTGCATTTTTCCAGGAATCCCAAATCAGAGATGAGAAAAAAAGCACGAAGACATTTAGAACAGAATAGTGTGTTATCCAATCACAATGTCCAAGATGTACTCAGTTGTAGCAATACAGTCTAAATACTCCCAAAATAAATAAAATTAAAAAAAAATGCAAAGGGATTGGTAAGCAAATCCTCTGACAAACTGTTTAGAATCAAACAGCTTTAAAGGTGATGCCGTGAAGTAAAAACTTAATGAAATTACAATGGACTTTGAAAGCCTGACTAGATTAATAGTCCCTAAATAAGTGATGTTCCTATCCTTCCCCAATCAGAAAAAAATTTATTGGTCAAAAAGATTTTCTTTGAAATATGATTCTTAGAAGTAAAAAAGAGAAATCTGTGTTCACAGAGGTTTTCAAACCCAAGTATTTCTGAACTTGAATTCACGAGCTATGAGCTTCAAGTATGACTCTCATACACCTCAATTCTGTTGAGACACAGAAACCTTAAACAAAACTGCTCATCCAACCATTCTGTTCTGCTAGTTAGCTCATCCTGCAGCTCAGAGGCACACTTCTACAGCGTAGACTTAGTAAGAAACAGAAAGCCTGACCTTCAGAATCAAGGTATGTGCTTTAAGGAATTACTCTGCACCTGCTAGTTAGTTCTCCTAAACCAGATGTGACTGCCCTCACAGCCAAGATGTATTTCAAGCCAGCTTGAAAACTGAAAGTGATTCAAATTGACGTGTTTTACCTTGGAGTGAAGCAGTGAAGGAATACGTATGAATTCAATTGTGACGCATCAGTCATAGGGAAACTAACTCTTAGAGAGGCATAAACCATTACAAGTGAATTTTTGAGATTTATCTACAAGAGAACTCTGCTTCTCATTTGAACTAGACCTGCATGAACACAGGACTTCAAGTATACAAACAAGACTGAGCTCTTACAATGAAGAGGAACCTAGAGTAAAGGTTGAACCTGTCCTATCTCTTCATGCTGTCTGGAATAAGCACAAAGAAATTCAATCTCTGGATGCAGAACCAACTGTCAAAGGTGGACAAATCATCTGAGCATGAGCACGAGAGGCATGCACACAATGGAAAGGAATGTACTCGCTGAGTATTATTGATAAGAACTGACATATTAATCACATGATGCTTTATATTTTGATACTTGCAATTTCAATTTGCATAAACATTCAGTAGTAGGTTCTTTTGTGAGTTGTGGCCTTATTTTAACTTAGTGATATCTAAACACAAAGGTACTAACTGATAAAGCCAGTAACACCAGCAGTCTGTATTAAAATATCTTAATTTAAATCACCTCCAATAAACCACGTGACCTTGCTCTGAAGCGCACATATCACACTGAAAAAGCTCACCAACTTCAATATTTCAATTACAAACTTTTAAGCAGCATTTCATGTTGCAGCTCAACTACTGAAATGGAGAGCTGAAAAGCATTCCTATCCATTTCCCATTTTTACTTTAATACTTCATCTCTTCTTGCACTGGCATACACTGAGAACTCAGTTCAAGCAACTAAACTGGAAGAAAGGTCTTTCTTAGTTGCAGTGTCAGGGAATAGTTTCAAAGGCAGCTTGAACAAAATCATAGCTCACACCCAGGAAGGATGTCCTGCTCATCCTGACCAAGCTGTGGTGGTTTTGACCATATACTAGGAAAATTCAACTCATTAAAGACATCTGGCAGAATGCAACAAACATCTGCTAGGTAAGCACACTGACCTGATTTACCCAGCAGTCAGATTCATTCTACCACAGACAAAAGGGAGAACACGTTGTTAGAAGGTAAGAGAGAGAGGAAAAGAGGGAAGATTAAGAATGGGCAAACCTCCATTTCCATTGTTGGGAAGCTGATAACTCAGTTGAATTGCACAACAAAACTGTACCTTTTGCTTCTGGCCCAGCCAGCTGCCCGATGTGGCTCACCCTGGAATCAGACAAGCTCCACAGCCAGTTGTGTGAAGCAGCAAGGCCACCTCTTTGAGGAGCAGCCACGTGCTGTGCATCTTGCCCTGAGGACAGGGCAGGACAGGACAGGTCAAAGGGAACTGGCTATCTAAAAATTCTAAGCTAACTTTGGGACAGCTGTAAGAGTTTTGCAGCTCACCTAAGGTATCTATGTTAGACTTCACATCAGCTATGCTTAATTATTCTTTAGAGATCCCTGCAAGGAATTAAGCAGGAGAAAAATGCTTTAGCTATTTTTCTTCTGTTATGTGAACTTAAAAATTTAGCACATTTTTCATGTTTTTAGAAGTTTCTTTCCCTGAGTTACTCCAGCCAACATTCTCAAAAGCTGAATTATTTCATAGGAAATGATAAGTGTATTCTAAACTCAAAGCTACCTGGAACTGAGAAGTATTCCTTTAAAACTTTATAATAAACCTTCAATTTTCCAGCAAAGACTTAGTAGACGAGGAAAAGGCTGTGGATGTTGTCAATCCAGACTTCAGTAAAGCCTCTGACACCATCTCCCACAGCATTCTCTTGGACAAGCTGGCTGCTCATGGCTTAGACAGGTGCACTGTTCCCTGGGTAGAAAAGTGGCTGGATAGCCAGGCCCACAGAGTGGTGGTGAATGGCGCTACATCCAGTTGGCAGCTGGGCAGCAGTGATGTTCCCCAGGGATCAGGATGGGGGTCAGCCCTGTTTAATATCTTTACTGACAACCTGGAAGAGAAGGATCGAGGGCACCCTTGGTAAACTGAGAGATGTCACTAAGCTGGGCAGAAGTGCTGACCTGCTGGAGGGTGGAGAGGCCTCTGGACAGGCTGGATCAAGGGGCCAAGGCCTGTGGGTTCTCACTGGCTGCCAGCTGAATGTGAGCCAGCAGTGTGTTCAGGTGCCCAAGAAGGCCAATGGCATCCTGGCCTCAAGTTTAGACTGGACAGTAGGAAAAATGTCTTCACTAAAAGGGTGGACAGGTGCAGGAACAGGCTGCCCAGGGAAGGTGGAATCACCATCCCTGAAGTGTTCAAAAGTCATGTGGCTGTGGCAGCTAGGGATATGGTTCAGTAGTAAACACAGTCGTGCTGGGTTAACATCTGGACACAATGTCTGAGGTTTTTTTTAACCTTAATGATTCTGACTTTAACTATCATCACAGTCTGAGTTTTGATCTTCAATAATTAGAAGTGATCTTCAAGGTGTTCTTGTCTAATGTAAATCTTCCTGATTTCAGAAATGTTTTGTCAAAACCATGCCACACACCTTCAAAGCACACACCAGGCAATATATGAGGAATGTTTATTGCTAGTACAGTAAAGAAGTAGATTGAGTGAAATAACTGATAATTTCTTCCTTGAGAATGCTCCATTCTCCTTTCAAAGGCAATAAACCAAAAACTTGATCCAGATGCTTAAGACTGCTAATCACATTTGTATTTCCTTTCTAAAGTTATCTAAAACATTGAAAGGATGAGAACTGGAATTCCAAAAGACAGTAGAGAACACAACATGAAAAAAATGGCACATACTTTAAGGATCTTCTTTATAATGTCCAAGAACTGTAATATACTATTACTACAAGAGAGAAAGGAGAGCCAGAGCTCCTGCCAATACATCAAGGACTACGTTGTTTACAAACATTGCCCAAATAATTTATCTCTCACTTTGAATACCTTGCAAAAATTATTTACTTCGCTCAGTTTCAACCAGCAAGTCTTTAGTTGCTTATAACTAAAGTAGTTCTTAATTGCTCTACTGGTTTCCCTGTTTCACATCAGACTTAAGATTCCTTGCCTTTATTTTTACCACAAAGTTTCTGAAAAATGAAGTGGTAAGAAATGCTTTGTCCCATGGCCATTTAACCAATGACACTGTCACAGCTTAAGCTGTTGCAGATCTACCACCAATATTTGAAACAATTTAAAGCTACAAAAGGAACATTAAATTTCTTACATTTTCCTTAAGAGATGTGTTGCTGAAAACTATGTCAAATCAACAACATTTAAGACTGTCAACATGATTAAATCACTGCCTCTGCAAATGTCCATTACATTCTGGTTTTGTACTGTTGTATTCCCCCTTAGTCTGTAATGATCCCTTTGTGTTTTTTCTCATTAGTGGTAAATTTCTGGGGCCAGGGAAAAATCCCTTTCTTAGAAGATACCCAACAGAGAAAGGCTCTCTTTCTGTTGCTCCAGGTACAGAGTAATCTAAATATCAGCATCTGTACTTATACTAATTAGAACTGCTTTACAAGTATTATCACTGTATTTGTTCTCTACCTGTTACATTTATTTCTTAAGTGTTTGACAGTATTACTTCCACATAATTAAACAAAAAATAAAGCTTTTTCAAAAACCTTTGAAAAAGACAGAATTATATATCCATCTCTTTTCTTTGCAAAACCTCAGTCCCCCAATCAATTTAATAAGCAGCATCTAAAAGCAAGCATTTTGACAAAAGACAGGCACTAGACTTTCTCTATATGCATTTATTGCTTCTCTCTTCAATCTTCAGACTCAAAATGCTATCCAAAATCTCTTTCTGTACA